TTATTTTTAAATGTTCTACAATTCAATGGTGCTACTTGCGCATGGGATTATGTCTAGTCCTATTGTACCTATTCTGTTTTAATTTAGGTAGTAGGTTCAGGCTCAGTAACTTTTTAACGGCTATTTATACATCAAATTTCTCATAATCACGCGTGAAAACAAGGAGTACTCACCTTTACAAAGGTAAACTCTGACATCACCTAATCAATAATGTTAAAAATCCTTGAGAGGTTCTTGACATTAGCAAACAACATGAAAACAAATTTGCTCAGATTTTTTTCGCTAAACAAAAACTATGATCTGTATTATAGTAGTTATAAAGTATTATACCTTTATTTATATTTTATTTAAGCACTTAATTACTACATTTTCTTTTATACATATCGCGAAATTAAGAATAAACGAGAGTCAAATTTAAATTTAATGGGAATGGCATAATGAAGGTTACATTAGCTTAGAGTTCGTGGATCTAATTTTTGGCGGATTCGAATATGTTCCCATAGTAACATCATTACCTACTATCAATATTTACCTAACTGCTTGGTGATAACAAGGAACTGCTCTTTTTTATTTCAGCACTTTTTTTGATCCATTGTGTATTTGAATAATGTTTTCAGTTATACGTAATCGAACTGGCCCAAATCTGAATACCATAGTTAGTCACTATACCGCGCGCACCACTCCAGATTAATGACTGCAAAACTAATAAAGGTAATTTTACTTATAAACCTGTACAATAATGACTTTTGTACACATTTCAATGTTAAACTGTAATTATGATTTAAACTTTGAACATTAACATAACGTGTGTGGAGCATCTCTTTATATGGAGATCTTCATATAACTAAACCTCAAAATGTCAATAAATTTTCAAATAATAATTTATCCCAAGAAAACATTTAGTTTTTTGGCTCACACAATTCGTATTTCATAAAATTCCCTGCCCCCGGAATATTCGCTTACAGAAGATTCATCCCCGTCAGGTTCGCTCCTGGAAAGTGGGCCACGAACAAGATTTGGCTTCAAGAACACCCGCCTCCGTGTTCTCGTCTTCAAGAAAAATCACCCCCACTTGCGTACTTCGGTCCCAATAGCTTGACCCTATCGTCTTACACTTCCGAAAGCGTTCCTACCTACGGTGCCACGTAAGACAAACCCACTTATGTATAATGTACTAGTCCATTTTCTCAAAAATGTGTGATGAATCTAAAAGTTATTGGAGTACTAAAACATGCACTGTTCCAGTACGACAGTAGGCACATACAATATATGTACATATTTATAGTGCATATGCATCCATCTAAAAATGCATTTAATTTTATTCCTCGTTGTCTTATTTTGATACGCCGCACACCATTGGACTCCTTCTGCGATGCATATTATATTCCACTACGACAATCGCAAAATAATAAGGATGACATCAGGTGAAATTTAATTAATTGCGTTTGGTTATGGATCTCATTACGAGAATGAACTCAACAATATGACACAGAATATGCAAAAGCAATCAATACGTTAGGCTTCAACTTTCCTCAACGTGAATTTGCCTTGGAGCGAGTTCCTGGTACGAGTACTCTGAGGCCAAATATTTCGACGCGACGGCGAATAATTCAGAGGGTGAATTTTTAGGCGAATCTTTCCGGTAACCAATTTCCGTAGGCGAGCACAATATAGTGAAACTACCCAGTGGAGTAGCGAGGGGGACAGAGGGGTCCCTGGCACCGGGCGGACCATGCAGGTACCTAGTAAGTAAACGTAAGGCTGATGAGCTCGGCATTATGAACTGTAAAGGGTCAAGTTTGAGATCATGCTGCCACGATGGCCGGATGCAACCTAGGTGTGCCTCAGCGGATAAAGAATATCAATCCCAATCTCGAATTTATCATTTCACTTTCACTAAACCTGGTTTGCCTACATGCAACTTCAGTGGGGGTGTAGATTCGGGGCCTTTCTTTGGTGCGCTAGAACGCTGGGACGCATTCTATTCTACGTCGGCGCACCGGTGGAAAATTCCTCTTGCAAAGAAACTTTTACTGCACCGAAAAACGGAAAACGAATGAAAGATTGAACACACGGACAAATACAGGATTCGTTTTTATATTACTCAGTCTTCTGCGTGACGTCAATGATGCGCTTAAAATTATCTGCAAACAGGACTTCAATGTGCTCCGAAAATATGTGCTTTACAGACTGAGAGGATGACGCTTAAAATATGTTAAAAGTTAGCAACAGATGCAGAATCTGTGCAGTGATATTGACCGTGGACGAACTGAACCAGACTGTAACAACAGGTCATTATGTCCGGTTCTCTGGGTTTATTAAAATATCCAAACTCACCAAAGATTGTTATATGATTAGAATTTTTGTTACATGTACCATTAGCAATGCCAGCTGTTGAGAGACGCTTCTCTGAACTAAAGTTAATCAAAAATAATCAGCGAATATGTCCATGTTGAGACTATGAGCGTGCCATACTATGTTTAATTGATAATGACAATTGTATAAAAGGCTTTGCTGTGAAAAAGAAACGGCACAGGTCAGCTCGGCGATGGAAAACTCTGCGAAGAAAACACGCACATAATTATTATGCTATCGTGTACCTACATTCGTATAATACGCGACAGAAGGATAATATAAGGTGCTATTCTGTAGATTAGGTAATTAAAACTCTAAATGCATTTCTCCATCATGTTTACATTACGTATTAGAAACTTACTCTTGCGGAAAGCTTTTTCTTGGTTTATGGCTTTGGAATATGGAATGAAATTATAAAGTATCAGTGAAATAGGTCTTTGCTAATTTATAGAGTTGCAACCTTTAGTTCCTTTTTTATTTTTAAACGTTGAAAATACTTAAGGAATTGTAATCTTCCCGATCGGTTTATTAAATAATAGTAATCTTTGTGCATTAAAATGAAACTTTACTAAATTAATATCTTCCCGGTTAATAATTTGCCGGAAATATTCACCCCCAAAACTTTACTTTTACTTGAACCGTAACGAAGAATTAATTTTCTTCTGAAAAAATCAATGGAGCAATTAAAAAAATTACTGTATCAGGTTTTTTTACTTATTTATAATTTGTCAGGTTGGCATCGCCGAGTTTACCATCGGCGAGTTGTCGCTTACCAATAAAAAATGCCAAGGGTACATTTTTAATTAATAAATTTAAAGCTGCTTTGACTTTTATTAATTTGCTTTATTATTAATTAACATAGAGGGGGCGGCGATTTTCCACTCGAAAGCCACTGCAGCTACCACATCAACAACCCAGATGTTTATTTGGTGTGGGGTTGATGGAACCCCCACATAACAGTCGAAGATTGTTAATTGTGATCATTTACTGTGATCATAGACCTCTTCACGTTGTACCGATGGTTTTGGTCAATACGTGGGACCATCATGTAGAAGCGGGGTTTGGATCCGAGTGGTATCGGTTTCTTCAACACAAATCAAAGGGGTTTCTGGCGCAGTGTTGGCCGTCGTATCCAGACGCAGCCGCAATACGCATTACCACCCTGTTTCCCGTTTCACTGATGTAATCACCCGTGTTTCGGTACATTCTTGGGTAGTACTTGTAATTGTTGCTGTAACAATAATAAATACACCACCACAACGGCAGCCGTTAGCACCTCGACTTAAATTTTAACTTGTTGATGGCCACTTATTGATCTGAACCGAAACAAACTGAAAATTTCCAACTTGTGGAAAACTTCACAAATTTCTGGGCCAATACGTGCCACATCATTGACCAACGTGAAGATTAGACTATGCATTGGCTGCTGTAATTACGATTGCTGTTATGACTGATCACTCTGGACTTTAAAAATGCAAGCTTCCGTATACATTACATTCTTACAACAAACACAAAAAGCACCTGCGGAATGTGAAATCTTTGTTTTCATTCCAATAAAGGTTAAAGGCAATATTATTAAATTCACGCAAGCGAGACCGTTAAGGATTATGGTCACAAAACGTCGAAATTATGTAATTTATAGGAAACACGCAATAGGTTTTATCTGTTTACGTAAAAACAATAAATTGGGGGTTTCCTACGCGCTGAATAAACAACTAAAAGATTCGGTGAACATTGCCTTATCAACGTTATTCGGGTTAGCGGAATATTTAAAAATGATTCATCGTATTTAAAATGATGTAGGTACATAAACGTAACCCAACAAAGCTTTTAATTAAACGATAAACCTTTTTGCGCAATTGAACTGAAATGTGTCCATCTTTAATTAGATGAGGAGGGTAACACATTAGGTATCCCTCTAATAAATGAGATTAATATCTGTAATTTTTTGGCGGAATATTTAAATGTAATCCATTACGTAATTCGTTTGTTTGTTTCTTTGTCCGTCATTTTTAATCCGCATCCTTCAAAAAAATGTTGAAATATTTGCAATATCCCCATTACGGAAAGTTATTAACGAAACATTTGGGTTACGAATCAATTACACAATTATGTTGTAAAAAATGGTTGGCGCGAAATTATATTAATATTAAATAATGTACTTATGCGGATGTTCCCTGTTACCGAATTCGGCGAACAAACACAAACAGTACATTAACCTATGTGATTAACCGCGCAGTGGCGACTTTTTAGCTCTCGTAAACAAGTTACGTACGTAGCAAAATCAAAATATTTTCGTATTTATCCCAAAGATGAATCGCAATTTGTAATTGTAAATACCCATGACGCACTACTACTTTGGTAACAATTTTCACAAATCCACAATTTAATCGCGGCGCAATATTGTGCATGGTCATGGTGTAATCATACGGCAATGAAAACAGAGAATTAATAAAAAAACGATGCAAAGATTTATTCCTTACAGAATAGGATACATGTGGGGGTAATACGAAAATATAACAAATATTTTCTTTTACCTACAATTAACAAAGCTGCGTAGAACCAAAGCGTCAAAAAATAAAAACATCGTCAATACAAATGAAAACATTTTATAAGGTTCACGTGGTTTTGTAAAACATACACACTTTAATTTGAAGTATTTTAATGGACGATTTTTCTCATTTAGATATTATTGCATAAACAGATAATCTGCCCATAACAAAAGTAAATATAATTTATTATAAATAATGTAAATTATTAACTCTAAGATAAATAATTACAAAATCACACATTTCCAACTAAAAATAAATAGGTACATTAATAATAATTATAATAATAAGATGAGGTGAAATGATTCGATTTGGTGATGCAATGATGATGCTTACAACGAATACATTGGCGAAAAATGTAAAGTTATAAGCGAAACAATAATACACTTTATAATTAGGTTATATCTGAAATAAGAACAACGATAATGATAGGAATATATCCGCAACAACAAAGTCGATCGATAAAAAAACAGTATTTAATGCGTAAAGTGAAAATGCCTCGAAAGTTGCCCCAAATTGTTAATCAGCATCGTCACCTCCTCACAATAAATACTTAGCACTAAAAATGGAACTTTGACAAGCGGTATTTAATATCCATAAACTAAAATAACACGCTGATATTGGGCGGGTGGCCCTTTGGTAATCACAACAATTAATTTTAGTGTAACAACACCTAGTGTTTTCCGTTCGAATCCTTGCGGATCATTATTGATTTGAGATGCGCGACTTCGGACGATAAACGTACGATTTCTGAATGCAGTCTGTTTTTGGTTTGGGGATCTCGTTCCGCATCCTGTAGGGTGGCTTGAGATTGTTTTTGAAGGCTTTGTAAGGTGGCCGCCGCTTGGGAGGCCGACCATTCGCCCCCTAAGGATATGCCGGAATCGCGCTCGTCACTTGAACCCTCGGCGTCCCACGAGGGGCTGGCTCGAAGGTTTGGTTCTTGTTTAATGTGTTGGAGGGATAGCAAGGCTGTCGCCGCGTCTTTGTCGCCTAGATGCGATTTGTGGCGAAGCTTTAGAGGGAGGCTGTTGTTCACTTCTGTCGTTAAAGCCATCGGTGCACCTTCGTCTCCGGAATTACTGGAGATTTCGTAGGGCGACTGGGGTCTTGATCGAGATCTTGAAAGGTTAAGGGCACTGTTGGAATCACAGATTGGAGTTGGATGGAAGGCGGGGAAGTAGGGATTGTAATCGGGGTGTTCTCTGTAGGGTGATTCGTGGTGGGAGGCGGGGTGGTGCATCATGTTGTGGTGCGGGTGAGGTATAGGCGGTGGGGATGGGGCGAGAACGGGTTGGTGAATCACAGATGTGGGGATGGGGCTGGGACTGGGGTGACCGAACATAGCGGATGGGTTGATTAGTTTTGGACGTTTTGTTAGGGTTAATACTTGTTCACTGGTTGGCATGTTTGCCATTACTTTTTCCACGCAAACGACGTTATCACCGCAGATCCCGAACTCTTCCCTGATGGCATCCAGTTGTGCTTTGAGGATGGCGTTTTCTTTGGTTAGTTCAACAACCCTTTGTTCTAGGACCATATCGTTGAACCTGCGTTTTTCTCTTGAACGTTTTGCGGCTTCGTTGTTTCTTCTGCGCCGATCCCAGTAGCTGTCGTCTTTTTTGCTATCTGGTATGAATTCGCGCTGTTTTCTTTGTGAGAATAATTCTTTGTGTTTCATTTGTTGTGATAAATTATATGCCTGATAGCTGTCTGCATCTGGAGAGGGAGCGGGGCTGGTTAATAACCCCTCGTGTCCGTGACTGGCTGGCATACTGGAATTCACGTGGGGTATTTCACCATTCACTGGAGACCCACTTTGACCTCGGCCCATTAGTTCGGCAACCATTATCCTTTGATTTAGAACATCTGAAACAATTAAGAATTTATTAGTTTCGACCGTAAAAGGACGAACTGGTTTTTGCAAGTGCACTCAAGGACGTCTTTGCTGCAGTTAATTTTTAACATTTTTTCCAAAGGATACCTGTTGAAGCACGCTATTAGAGATGTTTATACTTTAATCGTAATATCCTTGGAGAGGTCATTGCCTAAGCCCCTCTACAATTATGATGATACACGGGCTTAAGCAACCGCCAAGAATTCGAGAACGGATATGAATCACTTAGGGCACATCCACAAGTTCGAGAAAATCGATTACGTAGTGGTAAGACTTAACAACGTGATTGGTTTCACGTGCATCTTTCCACGTTTTCAGCCGCACGTTTTATTGATAGAACAAGTCGTTAGGCGATTTACATAATGTTGTGTAATACACAAAAATTCTTGGAAAGCGCTGACCTATACGTATAGTTAATTTCCAAAAGTATTTTTAGCGTTGGAAAGGAAATTGGGAAAACTACGCAGTATATCAAAATAAAGAGTGGGATTTTTGGAGGTAAAAAGTCGTGTATTACGGTTGCTATCGGATTGAGTTAAATTAGCAACAAACAATGTAATTGCGAACAAAGGTGTTTAATAATAATTTAAAGGACAGAAAAAAGAATTCTAGGAATAAAAGTGGTCACATTAAAATTTCTAATGAGACTAACGCACGTGAGTCATTGTTGTCGGACAACAATTTCTCTTTATTCACGCTTAAGAATTATAATTAAAATAAAATAAATTTCTAATTCGTCTCTAACTATAGAATGACGTAGGACGTCTAGTTGAAAACAAAGCGTTACAAAACTGATCTAAAAATATTCCTCGAAGTTTCGGCCCACTCTCGTTTGTTCTATTTTCCCAATAACATTTCTAATTAACCTGTTCAAATTACGCAATGCGATAAGAAGTTTTCCAATGAATCGCTCCCGTTTACTAAGGACTTTCCCCGGTAAAAATCTGACTCACGCATACAAGGAATCCCACTAACTTGTAGGCGAGTTTTTCGAATCATGAAACGCAAATTTGCAGACGAGCGACCGAGAATCGACAAGGAAAAGTAGGCTAGTGGAACTCTAGTTCATGCAGCAAGAAATCAACTGCACGGTTGCTATTATCTATTTCATCGACAAAATTATGAACGAACCAAATCGAGACCAATACTACAAATATCTCGATTCAGTTGCGATAAGGATAACTGATATTACATCACACTTACAAGGAGCTTAAAACAAAGGACTTTTCTCAATGCAATATCCGAATATGAATAAAACACTCGAGCATGACTTCATGTTATGATTAAATCATATTAGTTAGTCACTAACGGTAAAGTTTGATGGTTCAGGGCAACGCAACAGTTACTAGAAAATAATTAACCACTTTTAAACGATATTGCGTCACTGTGTTACTCAATTTTAATAAATAGTTGCGTTAATCTTAGGAATTCCCTCGCGGAATAACAAAGAGTCGACCCACGTTTTCTATCACAGCCGGTAAACTCACCCTCCTTTTAAAATTCGCGCGAATATAAAAAGAGCGCGTAAATTCATTCAAAAATAAAACTCACCAACTACGTCCTCGGACGTTTGAAAATCTGCTACTCCTTGTCAGTCGCGAAGAAATCTTCCAAGTCTTTATTCAAAACAATTGTCACAGCACAAGATAAATCGTAACTTTTTCGTAGAGCGATTGAAACTTAACTAACGCAATAACGTGCAGCTTTCCTGACTTAACAGTCGCATTTGCTATCTGTGGACGCGTGAGTCGAGTCGCGACGCTCAGAGAGGAGGGGAAAATCACAATGAACGGTGGGGGAGACGAGGACAACACCCTCAATGAGTCACCAATCAGAGATCTGACAGGTCACCTTCTTAGGTTACGTAATGTGCTCGTGTTATGTCGTGTGCCTTCTTTAATATTTAGGACCGCCGTCTTCGCTTGGAATTTAACTATTACATAATATCACGCTGATAGTGTGTTCTACATAATACGCTTTTCTTTGGGAAATTTATAACACGCGCTACGACTAAATGCGACTCAAATAAATAAAAGCCCTAACATGTTTCCATTTTTAATGCCTCAACAGCGTTTTGCTTGTTGGCACTCCAAATTTCTTAGCCTCCCGCAAGCAACGTAAGGCAAACACCCTGTTAATAATAAAATGCAGCACCTTGTCTAGCTTCCAAAAATACTTGGAACCCCAACTTAATACACAAATTCATAACACGTGTAACGAATATTGCGTAATTAATTTCTGATTTTGGATCTGATGGTTCGCAGTTTAGACTTCACAAAGAAATATACAAGTGCAAAATACTTGCCATTCTTACCCTTCGACTAAGGGCTATAATTTACTAACCGACTGACTACCGCTGATTGCTAATTTGGACAAACTCCCAAAATTGTAAGCTAAACCAGCATCTGAACATCAAGAACAGAAAATTCAGTTCGATTTGAAAAGAAAGTTGAATAAATGACCAGTTTGCACACGAATGAGTCTTACGAAGCTAACAATGCTCAAAGGAGCGCATTTTTAATCGGGCAACCTTTACTTTTCTATAATGTACTAATGTATTGATATTTGCTCCCGAGAAAATTGTAGGGTCTTTTGATCCCTTGCGCTTTGTACCTGTGCTGATCTGAATTGAAGGATCGGTAACCCAAAATTCGTGACGCAAAAGATAAATCAAATCCTATTACAACCAAACAAATTCCTATACAATATAAGTTTTAGCATTTGGGTTTTCTTCTGACGAATCGTTTGGGCTTAAGCATTAGTTAAAAAATTGAGTATTTCAGCTGGAAAAACAGACACCAATTTTAAGGGGCCGGCGAGAGCGGACGGCCCTATTATTTACTGAGCTATTTTGGGGTTTAGATATGTACAAGAGTTGTGCACAGCTTACTTGTTATTTAATACTAGTTTCGAATGAGCGTTTTAGCAGAAACCGCAAAAAAGCTTTAATTCAAACAACAGAAGGAAATAGACTTGAAACGCAATATTCGAAAATCTTTAGAGACTTCGGAAACTTTAATCAAATTCTCGCAAACTTAAGTCATTTCATTGAGCTGAACTCCTTAAAAACTCTGAACCTTCTTCGCAGTTTAAACATGGTCCGGGAAAATCACTCCCGAAAACAGAACATACGGGAGAAAAGGCGAATATTTTAGCACTTCAACAGCACTAAACACTTTGGGTTTAGAGGCATTTCCACGGGACTCCTTGAAAGCTTTCCAACGGCATATCTGCCACTTCGTTACCCAACAATGGGATTCACTTTGTCGTGGTGGTGGGGCTCAGTAGTCACTATTTTCAGTGGTGGGGTGACTGCTTCACTCTATGGCTTTTACCCATAATAATAATAATAATAATAAAAAACACATACATAAAGACAAAACAGTGACAACCGATTCTTGTCGACTCTGTTCACAAACATCAGAAACAATCCAACATATAATATCGGCATGCACACGACTTGCACAAACTGAATACAAACATCGACACGATCCGGGTAGCTAAAATCATACATCAAAAATTAGCACTTAAACACAATCTCATAACAGATAAGACACCATACTACAAATACACGCCACAGATCATACTTGAAAACAACACACACAAATTATATTGGGACAGGACACTACTCACAGACAAAACTATCCACAATAATAGACCAGATATTACACTTATAGATAAAACGCAAAAATCCATTTGTATTATAGACATTGCCATACCCAACACTAACAACTTAACTAAAACACATGCAGAAAAACACCGCAAATACACCGATATAGCTATCGAGCTTAAGACGCAATGGAGAATGAAATCTACTGTTATAGTTCCCATTATTCTTAGTGCTACCGGAGTTATACCAAAGACAATACACCACAATTTACAACTATTAGGTTTGGACAAAAACACATACAAACATTTACAAAAAGCAGTCATTATCAACACATGCCATATTGTTCGTAAATTTCTAAACATAACACAAGATACTACATACAGAAATGATCCACAACGTATACATGTAAACAACAGCACTCCCTCACAACACGGTACACAACATACTGTAATATCTCCACCTCTAACCCAAACAAGCACACAAATACAACTTACCGAACAAACAAGTACAACAAATGATACAACATATACTACAATCAGAGATGCACCTCTGAAGCAAACCACATTATCACAACCCATTAGTATTCAACCCAAACGCAAAAGCCTAAACAGCACTTTAGACTCACAACATGACACACAACATACTGTAATATCTCCACTCTTAACTCAACCAACCACACAAACACAACTTCCTGAACAAACAAACGCAATAAATACAAGTAACGCAACATGCACTACAAAGACGCCCTCACCCAATAAAGTTACACGGCCTAGCACAGCTAAAAAACACAATACTCTTTCTTCTCAGAAACACACCACGTTATCACAACCCACTCGTACTCAACCCAAACGCAGCAACCTTAACAGCACTAGAGGCTCACAAAATACCGTAATGTCTCCACCAATAATCCAAGCAACAACACAAATACAACATCTAGAACAAAGAAACACCATAAATACAAGTAACGCAACATGCACTACAAAGACAGATCCACCCAATAAAGTTACTAGCACAGTTAAAAAACGCAATACTCCTTCTTCTCAGAAACAACCCACTCGTATACAACCGAAGCGCAAAAACCTTAACAGCACCACAGGCTCACAAAATACTGTAATATCTCCATCAATAACCCAAGCAACAACACAAATACAACCTCTACAACAAAGAAACACCATAAATACAAGTAACGCAACTTGCACTACAAAGACAGGTCCACCCAATAAAGTTACACGTCCTAGCACAGTTAAAAAACACAAAACTCCTTCTTCACATAAACACACCACGTTATCACAACCCACTCGTATACAACCCAAACGCAAAGCCAAAGAAACACTTACACAATAAACTCTATTTAATAAAAGTACAGGAATTATTATAATGATATTTTTGTTTTGTTTTCTTCTTTCCTGATAGCGTTGACTATTGTGGCCATTAATAGCTATGTTGGTAAGTATGAATTACATACTATCTCTAGATTTCCAATGTGAGTGTGTGAATTTTTATTTTTATTATATTTATTTTATTTTTTTTAGGACCCTACATAACTTCACCAGACACAGACACAGACACTAATCGTTACTTGATTTTAATCCGTGCGATTAGTTAACCAGGCTAGACCTGAGTTCTCACAAGAAACACCGACAATAATAATAATAATAATAATTTATTGTCCAAACAGACTATCTAGTCTAAATACAGGACAAACTTTAATATTGTTCAATAAAAGCCGCACAGTAATATAGAAAAATTAACAAAAATGTAACAAAAATAATAATGATAGATTTATAACTAAAGCGAAAGAAAATTGTTAACAGAGTTATACAATAAACAAAATAAAGTCATAAATCAAAATACAATATTGGTAAATAAGAGAAATTGTATTAGTGCAATGGCAAAAGCAAAAAAGAAAAAGACAAAAATTATTGGATCATACTTATAAGGAATTTTAAATTAGTGTTAAATATATCAACAGTATCGCATACCGAGTTATAATTATGACACATTCGATAAATTGGGGAATTTTGTAAGAGATTTGTTCTGCAATAGGGTAATTTA